TTAAAAGGTCGAATAATTACAACCTCCGCCAATTTAAAATAGCGGGAGTTCGACTATAAAAACAGCAGATTTGAGCATGCGTCGAGTCCCTTAGCCAACCAGAATTCAAAACTTCTTATATAGAATTATATTGTATGTTCCGCCCTCTGAAGATGGGCGGAATACGTGGAGAATCGCGCGAGTATGCAATATGCGAGAAAAGGCGGTTGCTAGGTTACATAACAAATCTTGAGATTTTGCTGTATTACGATTACGAACCACCTAATAAAAGCGTAAATATGAACGAATAAAACATAATATTACAAATTGTTCGTGAAATAACGTTTATCTTATGTCCATATAGAATATTTATTATTTTTTTGGGAAATTTCTACTCCCGTCGGGCGGGAGTAGCGGGACCGCTAGCTACGCCACTGCTGATGATGCCAAAAAAATGGCGGATTTTGTCCTTTGCCGCTGAGATTTACCGAAATTGACCGCTTTTCCGAAAATTTCACAATTTCCCACTCCCTCCTGAGGAATGAGTGAGGAAAATGTATGAGTGTATTTGGGATTCGGCAAGCATTTTTTGATGAAAATCAAGGTAAAAACCTTAAATTCATAACAGCGAGTCAACTGTGGTTGTCAGTTATCTGCTCCTACGAGGATGCATTTATAACTATCGACGAAAGACCTATATGTCGGCTACACATGTATGAATGCAGATGTGCGTCGTTTTCTTACCAGCGTCAAACTTGTTTGATGGATTAAACTCTTTAGTCTATACAAAAAAGTATATCATAGTTCATCTCCACGGTTCACGAGAGAGAAGTTAGCTTATTTGTTATCATTGCTATTTTGCTTTTTTCATGATGCAATGGCTTTTTTCGCCACAATTGTAAGATTTTTACTTATTTCTTTAAAAAAGTACATATTAAATCTCTGTATTTTTACGGATTTTCTGTAATTGAGTTTCATATGAAATTTCAAAAAGACTTAAGTCTGCATAGGTTTGGTAAATGAAAACAAACAATATTGTATAGAAATTACTTTAAGTAACCTTTTTGTGATGTTCTGAAGTGCAACTGCATCAAATACTTGTAAAGTTGTAGCACATTTTGATTTTGTTGTATTGATATATGAATTGAGCAAAATGCAAATAATCATCAAAACACTTATGCTTCCAATGGTGTTTATAATTCATTTGTAGTTTTAATAATTCTACCTTTCTTTTTCACTTTGTTTTGTTTTTCCTATATTTGCAATAAAAGTGAACTATAATTTGAATGATTAACACAGTTTTCACCTCAATAATAAATTTCATAAGCAGTTGGTAGTGCATTTTGTTCTCTGAGTATCCACATCTGGTGTTTTCTTCATACAAGAATGATGAAGTGCAAGTAGATATGTCATAGCAAGGCAATAAAACCAAATGAATTACATACCTATAGTGTACTTTTTATGCTAGAAGCTTAACAGCTTTTTAGAAATTTGAAAGATATTGTATTATATTACCTCTATATCATCAATCTCATGATAAGAAATAAGAAGCAAAAAATTTGTAGAAAAGCTTTGAAAAGTGAAAAACTTTTCTTTAGAAAAGCAGCAATAATGCATATGATAAATCTCCATTCTGTACTCTAATAGGTAAATAAGCTCAAATTTTTCTTAAAGAAATATAAGAAATATATAAGAAATATACAGTACAGTAACTTTAAAGGTTTCATCACTGAATCTTTAATGCTTCAGTATAGTGCATTAGATATTAGTAACATTCAAACAACACTCAACTAAAATATTTTGATAAAGATATGACATGATTTAAACATTAAGTTGCATAAAACCCAATGGCTTATACAGTTTGAAGCTTCACATCTGCATTGAGTCATCATCAATCTCAGTACAAATGTGTACATAGACACAAACTTTATGGCCTTCCCATTTTACATGTTTGTGAATTGACAATTCATTAAGCATCAAAACACACACAACCTTCTTGCCATCTTTCTTTGGATCATGAACTTTAACTTCAAAGGATTCAAGGCATCCTTAGTGAATCCATTGTCTCCATCCATAGAATTTGACCACGATCAAATTAAATAACTGTTGTTTATTTAAGATTGATATGGATTAGGATGCTTATTTATTTAACACAATATGTCTCTTGGCAAGAGAGAGAATCAACTAAGAAAAATAAACAAAGCGGAACGCAATGCATTGTAGGATACAGGAAGTGAAACACACACAAAACTGTATACATGAGTAGACAACTCACAAGTATGATTAAAAACCTAAACATGAAACTGCCTTTATACAATAATAACTCTAGATAGGGCAGACAATAAATCAATTATCTTTACAGCATTATCATTTTTTAAGACTCTGCCTGGTCAATAATATCTTCTAGTCATCTTTACTCCTTGATCTTCCCTGCATGTTGTCAGCAAATAGAACATAACAAGCTCATTTCTTTTGCTAGGCACATCACAGGCTGATCATTTCTTTTTGATACTTACTCACAGAGCAAAATGTGTGCAGGGTCTTTTTTGCTTTAGGGAAACTATTTCGCAAATAAATTGGTAAATTTACGATTTCATGCATTAACAAATGACAGAAAAGTATGCATAATTTTATAAACAAAAACAGGAAAACATCAGTATATTTGGCGTTCAAGTCAGTCTTAAAAAATACGATCTTTAATATGTATTTTATGGCTTTTCAAGTGCATGTATAATTGCTTTTCAATCGTTGACGGACTAACAAAAAAAACAACTACCTCACCTGTGAGAAGCGATATGTTCCTTTTTGTGGAAACTACGACATCCAACAATTGAACGATTGAAGTGTTGGCATTATAAAAGAAATGCCAAAAAAGAATCGTCACTGAATATGGAACTAACGATATCCATATTCTGTGATATCGTGTTTGTTTTTGAAAAATTCTTTATAATTTACTATAGACACCAGGGGGAGGTCGAGAATATTATTTTTCTGCAAAGCGATCATTTCAGAGGAAATACGCAGAGCCCTCTATAGTATAAGAGTTGGGACAAACGGTCTGGGGCGAGCGCGGAGCCGCCATTTTGGTTCCTACTTGCAAATTGAAACTATAATAATACTATTGGAAATTGGGTTTATATGCAAAAGAAGAAAGCAATTTAAGCTTATTCCATGGTAGTATCAAATATATTAGGAATAAATACAAGCTCTGCGTTTTTTTAACGATTTGCGGCAGACCTGATTTATATTCATTGGTTTGAGCTTCGTTTGCGGTTTACTAGTTCGTGCTTTAAATTGATCGTGACCCACTGTAAGAGGTATTTTTCGTACGTGAACGTGTTTTCTCGGCTTATGTTCCGACTTGAAGCGGCAATGTTATCCTGGCATCAGTGCTATCAAATACTTGGACAAGACTTTGTTCGAAACTTTGAATCATAGTAATCATGCAGATTTGGTCCGGAGAGATTTGTGTTCAAGATTTGTAACAATTTAATGGTAGTTAGTGATTTATGCCCCCCCAACTTAATCCAAGCATGATATTTTTTATCCTGAAAGATCACAAAATTTTCTTGCTCAGCAGAAAATGACAGACTTTTTTACTTTTTAGTTATTGAAATATGCAATGATTTGGCCAAGATGCATTTGACCTTAAACGCTTTATTCCTTTATATGAAGTTATTTCGCCTTTATCACTTTATAAAGTATTAAAGTTTATTTCTAATAAAGTTTGTTAGGGATTCTGCTGAAAATTTTGGTGAAGCATTTTTTTAAAATGAATATATTATTTCTATAATATGAAACATTTCTGTTGTTGAAGAACAGTCTGTTTGCTATAAATGCTACTGTTTGTAGTCTTTTATACAGCATATGAGTCTGATCCAATCTTTAATTTAGCAAAGAGTTAAATTTATTGGTTGAGGAATGACATCTATATGTGTTTAATGATCAAACAGGGGTATGTTGGAGGGAGCTCAGCCCCGTTTGTTCAAATTCTATGCCTTGTATTACCAGTGAAATATATATATCAAAAAGCCAGCACAACCTAAATATATATCAGAAAGCCGGCAACATTTTAATATATATGAGAAAGGCAGCAACAGTTGTAATATACATCAAAAAGCCCAAATAGCTGAAATTATGGAGATATGCCTCTGTGATCTTATAAACCAAAACCTACAATTAAAATATCATCAACAAGTCTAGAAGAGAAGTAAGAAGTGGTACAGTACAATTCAATACCAAAATATATTGTACTCAGCTGTTTCATTGAATATCCTAATTATAATTACTTCATTTTTAAATGATGAACTAAAAATACAAAATACAACATGGAAAATCATAAGAGTTTCTGTGATTTGGTGTAGTTGTTTTAGTATGGAAGTGGCTGAGAATTGAGAGGTTTGTAGATTGACCAATTTCAGAACATAATGAGAAATCATCTTCGATTAAAAAACAAGCTTTGGAGTAAGAAAACTATTGAAACTGCATCAGCACGAACTTTGCAATGTTATTTGGCCCAAAAATGTTTCTCTACTTGAGTCAGTTAATTGAACCTTATATCAAAAGCAGTTCAGCACAACAATCACCATATGCAATCAAATTTCGTAAGTTCGACGTAAAGGCATTTCTTTCATTTTTTTCGTAATCCTCGATTTATGCGATATGTAATGACATTTAGTAGCCTTCAACAATCAGTTATTACACACTTATCCATAAAAAAACGCAATATTATCTCAAAATACTGTATTACTAGCAGCAATTGCTATATAAACACAAGATAAAATTTCAAAACTAGGAACCAAAATGGCGGAAATTGATCAGGTGATTAATATTGCCCAATCAACGTAAGCTATACGGATAACAATAGATGTCCCAACTCTTATACTATAGAGGGCTCTGGAAATACGTCCTTTGGCCGCCATTTTTTTTGCATCCTCGCCCCAGTAAAGTTAGCCGCTCCAGTTATTATAGAACTCAATGGTGTGGACGAATCCTATGGTACCTTCACAGTAGTTGTTGGTTTCGAGTACTCGTACCCCATAGAGAAAATTCACGATTAAAAGAAAGCGGGATAGGTAAATACCTGTCAAGAATAAGTAACTATAATCATTATAGTGTTGTATGTAACGGTTGGTGTTATACTTATAGTAAGTAATGCAATTTGACTAGAATAATACATGTCATTAAACGACAAAAGCAAATATATGTTACTCCAGACTTTTATGGGGGATTTTCCACACTCATATAACGTGATAAACTGTATTAAATGTTTTAAAAGATAATTTGTGATTGTCAATATGTCCTTTTGTAGTAGTTTTTAAAAAATGTACACTAGTCATAAGTCATTCCCTACATCCAATTTGGACAAGGTCTAGGTTTTTTTGACTCATTGTTGGCTTTAGTTTAGATTCCTCTCATAGAACTTATACACCAATGACCAAAATGGCAACAATTTGAAAAAAACTACATTAGATGTATCAAGCATGAAATGAAATGCATGGAATACATCTTCCTAGTAAAATTATTGAACATGCTGCTTAAGGAAATTTGAGGAACTCTTTAATTTTGTGGTTTTAGATTCTATGGCTAATGATGAGTACCCACTAAGCCATGTTTTCTGTACTACGGGTCAGAGAATTTTCTTATGGGAAATCAAAATTTAAAATTATTCATTATAGAACCATTTTAGTTCATCAATGAACACAACTATAATTACTGGCCCATTGCTTCATATGGAATGTGGTTATTGCATATAAATAAAGCAATAACGGCTTTGTACAAATGAAATTTGAAAATTAAGTGTTATTTGTAGACTCTATGACAAGGGTTGCTAGAAGTTTCTTGTCATAGTAGATACAACAGCATTAGCTGCCATCTCAACATATATATCTTTATATAGCAAAGACAGTATCAACAAGGAAGATAAAGACCTTGCTTCCACAGATATCATACAGGTATATACGAATAATAAACTGATTATAAAATGGAACTAGAAAATATTATTTCAAATTGTTCTTTGGCCATTTTTTATTGTATTTTGCTGTAGTTTTGGTTGAATTACCTCCTTTTGTAATCAAAATTGTGATGTATGACTTCAATAAAAAACTCTAGAAATATCCCTTTAATTTACCACTTGAAAATTTGATGAATTTATTTTGATATATTTTGGTGCATGGGTAAAACATTGCTTCATTTTTCAAATTAGTTAGCTATATACAGTCTTCATCCCAATGATGTGAACAATAGATTAACAATTGTAAATAATATCTACACATTAGGAAATTAAAAACAAAGGATGCATGTCAAAACTGTGGAACTTTCTTTGATTTGTTTGGTGTTACACTAGGATTGGAACTAGAAAATATATGACAAGGCATTTTCATTTTTATTTTCATTCTTGTATGGCTGGCCAAGTGAACTCGTGCTGGCAAATTTCATTTTAAAATGCAAAATGTGACATGGTACTTATATTTGTTTTATTATAATCATTACTTTGAAATTAGAGTCTGCCATTTAATTTTTGAATTGGCAGTTCAAAATTTTCACCTGCCACCTCTTTTTGGCAATTAGCAGCCAGTGATTTCAACACCTATGTCCCATTTACCAGTGTAAAATTTAAATTTCTTTTTTGTTGTTTATAGAATATTAAAATAAATATTTAATATCTAAAACACCAAATTGTTGCAACAAGCAATAACAAAAACTAAAAAGTATTTTATCGCTCATGTTGTTAAGAAATTCTTTGTAAATACAGATAGGGTTTAGGTAATTCAGATTGCATTACTTGAAGATAAAATATGTGAATTTAAACTATTGAAAGGCACAGAGAGATGGGGAGTGAGACTTGCGAGTGTTTTCAATAAAATTGTCAAAATATACAGTCTCCAGATTGTTACTGAATTAGCAACTGGAAAGTTGAGAGGAGTTTTCCAACACATATTTTATTTATCCACGTTCTTCATGTTGTGTTTCCTCATATTTTAGACACCACAATATAAAAGAGTTAAACGAACCAACTTCCACCAAGGCTTGTAATATTTGATTTGTTTATGTTTAAAGTAGACGGTACGCCACCTAGGCGAGTTTCAAGTTGGATAGACGGTAGCTCGTCATTGGGACGAGCTGCTAGCTGGGTAAAACAGACGGCTTTGAAAACTGTGAATGCATTTCATTCGTTTTGTGAACGATATTGGCGAGATGATGTAGAGGGGAAGAAGACGCCATACAAACAATATCCTCAGAATTTAAGGATATGTCCACACGTCAGGTACGTAAGAACTACTGCTGATGGGACAGTTTAGAAGATATCTCGATTAATCGTTGAACTTGTGTAATGGGGACAGCGACTTGTACGTAGTAATTTACTTTGAGACAGACAGGATCTGTTTGCTTTTTTTCAAACTTTTTTTCACTATTACACAAATTGTCAAAGCAAGCTTGATGGCAACTTGTCGTATCTCGTTTTTCATTGACTTCAAAGTTTTCCCCCATTTAGCGTGTTTTTAACTCTCCAGTTGATTTTTTTTCTTTAAAAACATGTAGAGAGGTTCATTCTAATCAACGTGATAATGAAGAGCGATTTTCCAATGGCGCCGGAAACCTCTTGACGAAAGCTACATTGTATTCTCAAACATCGCAAAATGGGACATTCTCGCGAAAAGTTTATGATCCTTCAAAATATGCCAACGATCCTGTCGAGGAGCACTCGCGGGAAGAAACCAGACCTGTTTCCTCTTTCGCTCACGTCAACATCGTGAAGTGGAAGTTTCAAGGAAGCCCGCGTTCTCAAGGCATGAAAATCCCGTACAAATGAAACCTAAACCACCGAAACTTCCAATATCTTTTGCCTATCAATTGAAACCGCCATCAAGGGCAGTAGATAATGTAAGTTTACACTGTAAACATTTTCTTTTGTGCCTAATTTCCTCCATTATGTACGCTAGTCTCATTTACCCATCTCCACACTAGATTTATACAAAATAACAATAAACGCCTCTCTATAGCTTGTATATCGAAAAAGATGCGAGTAGAATAATATGTTATTGTTTAAAGTTTAAGTCTTCTGCATGTATGAACTTATATTAGTTTAACCTGATCTGTTCAATAGGATCACGATATAAAGAATGAACAATGTGCTACCACTTTCTTGAGCACTTAAAATGACTACAATTATGTTAATCACACGCGTAATAAAAATTCGCTACCCAAAAAAATTCAATAGAGTGACCCCACTGCACATAATGTTCAGTTGTGGTTCCAGCAGGGATTTTTAGCTGAGGGGCTCCTTGGATTAGCGAGCACCGAAAGTTTACATAGAATCGTAACATGTTTCTGGATGTAGATCGTCCAGGTTAGTAGAGTCCTGAGAAGAACTGTTCGTATTGATGTTTACTGGCGTTTCGCCAACCTTAGCGGTAGTCATCTTCAGAGTCAAGTGAGGAGAAAACGTCAGGTTATCCGTATTTGTCTTTATTTGTCATACATCATCCTGTATACAAAATAGGATACGATGACTTAGAAGACGACAATCGCTAAGGTTGTCAAAACGTCAGTCAAAGTTAACGCTAACAGTCGTTCTCAAGAGTCTACTGACCTGGACAATCTACATTTACAAATAAGTAATAGTTATATTTATAGTTAGTAAATTCATCTTTTTATGTGTTTCCTATACTGTTGAAACCTGTATAATAGATCTTAAGCACGTGTTACAACATGCAAATGTTATAGTGGAGCAAATATGCGCTAAAAGTGTTCGCTTTCTTTTCAAAGCACCAACTTTTCAAACTGTATTTCACACTTTTCGTAGGTTGTACGCCTTCGTACAAAGCTTATAGCCATTTATGCTAAGTATTATAGCGTCAATGCCAGGAAAACAATTACAGTTGATGATGAGGATGAAAGAAAATTAAAAGCCGCTTCTCCAAGGTATATTTGTATTCCCAAGAAACATGAGCTACAATGTTTGTGATCTGGCACATCTCATAGAGCTTTACAGCTTATCGACGTATTATTTGTTGTCATCTTAATGCCGAAACTTGTAAAAGAATACCACACGATTTATTAACTCTGAAATAGTCTGATATAATCTGCAAGTTGTGTTATTTGATGAATAGTATTGAGAGTATTTAATTCGTGTGATTTTGTTTCAGTAAATCGCTCCATGAGAAACCGCTTCTGAAATCAACTAATGCAAAGTCGGTCAATTTTCCTTCGTCACAGGACAGAGAATTGCAAAAATCGTCTACAACTTTTCGAAAGCAACCATTGGCGATGGCTGTTGAGGAAAAATCAAAAGTGATTCCTGAAAATTTCTCAAAAGGTTTGCTTCTGTTTCTTGTTTTTATAGCTTGTCGCAATGACTGTTGCTAAATCTTACATTTAAATGTTTTCTAATTTATGTATGTATGTATGTATACATACGCTGTTGTACTTCTCAGAATTCTTGTATTTATGTGTGTAAAATGTAGGTACGTAAAATACGTGCGATTGGTGTTTTATCTGTTTGCATTTCTGTTTTGTCTGGTTAAATTGCTGTTTTATCATTGAAACTTTTAGGAATCGCCAATGTTGAAAAAACCTCGAGCCGTTCTTCACCAAGGTACACATTTTTGTTTGACGTTTTTATAATTTCATAATGCCTGTACTCGATGTATGATTATTATTTGTTACTCTCGTCATGACCGTTGCTGCTCGAAAGAACTTCAAAGTTTTGTTATTTTTCTCGTGTAGGTCTTTTGATTTGTTAAATGATCACTGGATAAAGAAATGGTTAGACTTATTAACTTGTTTTAGTGCTTTCCTTCATGAGTAGACTTTATACGGTTCACAATTAGAAACTTGCATTTACGTACTCAGAGGATAGCATTAAACTACACATGCGAGTCCTCGACCTTCTTTGTTGAGAATTAATTTTACGAATAGTTAGAAAATGGCTTTTGCCTGCCTCAATTCATGTTTTGTTGGTTGTATATCACTCCTACGTAAGTCATGTGAAACTACATTTCTTGTGCATTTTCAGTACTTATGTGTAACTTCATATGCAGTGCTTTCAAACCTTGACAACTGTTGATTTCATGAACTTAAGTTACGTATTTGTGTAAACGGCAAAATAGATTTTCTTAATACTTAGGAGAGAGACCTTGAGTGCAGAGTCTTTAGAACAACAACGAATGATTGCTAAAGAAAAACTTCGACTTGAAGCCATACCTGAAGAGGTATATTTTCCTATGCTTTTTCGCTATCCTAAATGAACGATTCCGCATGTAATACGTCATAACGGAAGTAAATTAGCACGAAACCCCGTTTCATTAGACCATGTACATACTCAGTAATTTGCTGCATATTATAACAGTGATAACACTGATCATAGACAAATACGTTGATGAGATATTTCACAAAAGGATGATGAACGAATTCTTTGTTTGCAATTGTAAGATTAAAACATGCCCTTTTAATCTTATTTCTAATTCTACAATTGCTACAGTACCGACCTCGAGTAATTTTTGAGAGTTACTTCGATTCACTCGCAAACAGCGAGTCATTTATTCACTCGCAAACTTCTCATACTCGTGAGTGACTCGCAACTGCATTGCAAGCCACTCTCTCAATCGCAACTTATCACTCTTGAGTTACGTCATGTTACTCGAGGTTGGTATCCTACGTATTACATGTAACTAGAGTATTTAGAGTACGTAGGTCGTTATATCTATGTCAATTTTTTGTAACATTTACTGTGAACTGTTTTTGTCTCACGTGCTATTTTACCTTTAGAAAGATGATTTGGAAATCATATCCCAACAGGTATGTAAGCGTTTTTTGTTGCATTTCCTCATTAATCAAGTTTAGATTTTTTATTATTTTTGTATTGAATGTACTCAGGTGAAAGATAGAATGTTCGGTAAACAGAAAATTGAACAGGAAAAGGTACGATAATGAATACATAAATGAACAAAAAATGTTTTTCTACATTATATTATGATAAAATCTCTAGTCATGCAGTTCTGTACCTATTACACAAAAAATGACGTCTTATTTTGTTGAATCTCGTGCAAAATATCGTGTTATAATCACTTTGAAAATGTCATTGAGATTTTTCTTTTGGATCTAGTTCGGCCAAATCCCTGCTAATACATAGTTACGTTGATTCGATGATATATTAATTTTATCGCTGTTTTTTAGATCTATGCGCTTCCAGAGCTGACAGATGAAATGAATCGCGTTGTAAGTTGATGTACTTCATGTCTGACTGACATTACATTATACGACCTGTGATAAACATCACGTGATAATTGACACATACGTGGATTATTATTACGTTATGCTATTCCAATCCCATATATGCTTCGCTCTACATGTGTGTCGCAATCCCAATCTGTCATACTATATCCTTCACTCTGCATGTTTGTTTCAATCCCAACCTGTCATGCCATATCCTTCACTCTGCATGTTTGTTTCAATCCCAACCTGTCATGCCATATCCTTCACTCTGCATGTTTGTTTCAATCCCAAACTGTCATGCCATATCCTTCACTCTGCATGTTTGTTTCAATCCCAACCTGTCATACTATATCCTTCACTCTGCATGTTTGTTTCAATCCCAACCTGTCATGCCATATCCTTCACTCTGCATGTTTGTTTCAATCCCAACCTGTCATGCCATATCCTTCACTCTGCATGTTTGTTTCAATCCCAAACTGTCGTGCCATATCCTTCACTCTGCATGTTTGTTTCAATCCCAACCTGTCATGCCATATCCTTCACTCTGCATGTTTGTTTCAATCCCAACCTGTCATGCCATATCCTTCACTCTGCATGTTTGTTTCAATCCCAACTTGTCATGCCATATCCTTCACTCTTAATGTGTTTTCAATCCCAACCTGTCATGCTATATCCTTCACTGCATGTGTGTTGCAATCCCAACCTGTCATGCTATATCCTTCACTCTGCATGTTTGTTTCAATCCCAACCTGTCGTGCCATATCCTTTACTCTGCATGTTTGTTCAATCTTAACCTGTCATGCCATATCCTTCACTCTGCATGTTTGTTTCAATCCCAAACTGTCATGCCATATCCTTCACTCTGCATGTGTGTTTCAATTCCAACCTGTCATGCTATATCCTTCACTCTGCATGTTTGTTTCAATCCCAACCTGTCATGCCATATCCTTCACTCTGCATGTGTGTTTCAATCCCAAACTGTCATGCCATATCCTTCACTCTGCATGTGTGTTTCAATCCCAAACTGTCATGCCATATCCTTCACTCTGCATGTGTGTTTCAATCCCAACCTGTCGTGCCATATCCTTCACTCTGCATGTTTGTTTCAATCCCAACCTGTCATGCCATATCCTTTACTCTGCATGTGTGTTTCAATCCCAACTTGTCATGCCATATCCTTCACTCTCCATGTGTGTTTCAATCCCAACCTGTCATGCCATATCCTTCACTCTGCATGTGTGTTTCAATCCCAACTTGTCATGCTATATCCTTCACTCTGCATGTGTGTTGCAATCCCAACCTGTCATGCTATATCCTTCACTCTGCATGTTTGTTTCAATCCCAACCTGTCATGCCATATCGTTCACTCTGCATGTGTGTTTCAATCCCAACCTGTCATGCCATATCCTTCACTCTGCATGTTTGTTGCAATCCCAACCTGTCATGCCATATCCTTCACTCTGCATGTGTGTTGCAATCCCAACCTGTCATGCTATATCCTTTACTCTGCATGTGAGTTGCCATCGTAATCATTCACGCTCGCTATATATTCCACATCGCGGTACAATCCCGAATGAATGTTTCTCATTTTTAGATTGACAAGGCCCTGGGTCATGGTGCATACAATGAGCTTCTCGTGGAGCTTTCTATTGGTCGGATGACTAGAGCTGACATCATAACGTTGAGACCTCAAGCATGGCTTAACGACGAGGTCGTGAACGCATATTTCCATATGATTGCCGAGCGCAGTAAAAAAACTGGAGTTAGCGTTCATGCTTTTAATACATTTTTTTATCCAAAACTGATTAAAACTGGTCATACAAGTTTGCAGCGCTGGACTAAAAAAGTTGATTTATTTTCGTTGGACATCGTGTTAATACCGATTCATCTTGGTATGCACTGGTGCTTGGCGGTAAGTTGGATTACAAGGTTCTTTCAACCCAAATTACAGTGATAAAAGTAATATATTGGAGAGAAAGTTATCTTTTGGATCTTTATCCACCTTCTGTGCAACCCCCACCCTGAAGTTTGCACGCGGCAACATGTGCTAAGTGTACGGGGTAGACTTAGTTCTATGAAGCTTGAGAGTTTTTTCTGCTTTCATGCATTTTGCAAAATTGTTAATAGAAATTTGTAATATTCTTAACTTTATACAAACTTTAGTTGTACTTACGTAGAGCGCTCTCACAAACACAAAAGGATTGTTTTAGTCTTCGAGTAAAATTGATATTTATTTGGTAGTATTCTACGTAGTTCCACTTCTAATAACTACTTCATTTTCACCGTATTCGGTGAAAGTAAAATAGTTACTTCATCATTATTTTGAACACTCCTATCTGCAGATTTCTGTAATGTTACAGTTTGAGGCCTTTTCTAGCAAATAGTCTAGTGTATGACAACGAATTTATTCTGAGCTACAAATTAATTACAGCTTTCTTTGCTATGTGGAGAAACAATCTTCGCTAACTAGAAATGTTTGAGAATATGATGATTATGGTGTAGAAAAACGCATTAAAAAGCATGTGCTAATCTGATAACATTAAATGACCGGGGCATGAAACGATTTGTGCGGGAAAGCCTTTGAAGTTTTATTCTCGCAAAAGTATGCTATTTCTGTCCTCATACATATCATCAAAATATTATTTACACACGAATATCTTTTTTGGTTTATAGTTAATTGTTTGTGTTTCTCTTTTATATCCATAGGTTATTGACTTGAAAGAAAAAACATTTACTTACTACGACTCTTTAAAGGGAGATAATCAGAATTGCATCCAGGCTTTACGGTTAGAATTTCATTTATATTCCTATTAAACGTTTGGGAAAAATGTATGGAAAACGTATTGCGTACTTCTATTTTGTTTTATATATGTGTTTATAGATGTACGTGTTGTATATAGACGTGAAATTTTCATACAATACAATTAGTACGAAAATTAATGTATATATACCCAATTTCATTAATTTTTACACAAAAAGAAAGTAGTTGATTGTAACGTATTCAATCAGTTTCATACTTAATTTTAATCCGAAACTATTCATGATGCGTTTTATGTGTACAGTGACTATATTTGCGCGGAAAGTTTGGATAAAAAGAAAACAATATTTGATCTAACTGGATGGAGAAACGACAGTCCTAAGGTAAGTAACGTTTTCTCATTTAAAAAATCCACTTTTGACGTTGATGAAATATCAACGATTTTTTCTGCACCACATGGTACCATTGTATGAAATTGTTTCCATGCAGTTCTGAGAGGTGCAGCTAGGTGCTAAATTCCAGGTTTCTGTACGCTCTTTTCATTGCTTTAGAGTGGCAGCGGAGTTCAGAGAATATGGGTTTCGCTGTTGCAAACACTGTTTTTACATATCTGCATGTACACTCATCTACAGTGTCAGAACCTTTTCACATGTTATGTTATGATTGTACTACAACAAACATCCATACGCACAATTTGTCGAATGGTTAATTTTTTTCTTTTGATTTCTAAGTTTAAAAAAAATAACACGATCTCATATAAACTGTTTTGTATTGCTAATTTCACATGTCACGGAACATATGATGAGTTATTTCCCACACACAGAATTATAAATTCGATCAACAAATTAAACAGCTCCGTAGACTGAGCTTCATTGAACCTTGTATTGCATTTGCAAAGGGGTTATTTTTCGTTTGCGCTTCATTATCATTTATATTTTGAGTTTTACGTTACTAAAAGCATGCTTTACTTTATAGGATATACCTGAGCAACTAAATGGCTGTGACTGTGGGGTTTTTGCTTGTCAGGTACATACATAAATAGTCGTGTTGTGTCACCTTTCCTTACTTCAAATACGATGAAGAACTCCATATTTTCTTGCGCATTCTCATCTCATTGTTTCTTTTTTAGTACGCTGAATGTGTTTCTCGACGTTCATCATTTAATTTTACTCAGGTTAGTCAATTTACAGACTATATCTAGTTATAGAAAAGCTTTTAGCCTGAAGATTAAACCTTTTTATCAATGTAATGAATCATTCCATCTGCATTTGGAATGATTGTTGTCTTCATCTGTCTTTCGATTGAGTTCACCTTCAGAAAGGCTTGATAATACAATGAATGTTTCGATATGGGGCTCAATTTGTTGTTTGTTTATATGTCTCAAGACTGTGTTCAATGTCAAAACTGCTTGATATTTCGTTGTACACACGTTTTAAGAGTTGAATTTCAGAACAACTTGATTACGTAATTCAATTTAAGGAGTTTAACGAAACTTAGCTTAGTTTTGATAGTTTTGTTTTATTTTGACTTACTTTTTTGTTGAATTTTTTTTTGGGGGGGGGGAGGGGGTGGCCACAACTATAAACGAAAGTTTTTGAATAACTAAAGATGGTTGTTTGAAGAGTATAAAAGGTATCCTCGCTTTCAAATTCTCTTCCCCCTCCCATACATACGCTCATATATCTTTTAGCAATTCATTTTAGCTGGGATTCATGGATTTTTTGCAAAATCTTCACCAGTCAGAGAAAAAATATTTTTAAAACTTCGTTTTTTCACAAACAATACTCTCTCTTAACAAAGTATTATTTTATCTAGCACGACATGCCTTACTTTCGAAGAAGAATGATTTACGAAATTTTGAGTAAGACGTTACTATGAACAAATAAAACAAAACAAAAGCAAGTTGATCATTTTGAACGTACGTTTGTATACATTGAATTGGATTATTGCAGTAGCTAAGGATTGCTGTCACGTGACAGTTGCATCTTAGTAAATGAGTAGTGCCCATGCGCTGATGATCATTTTTACAAATATGTTAATACCAATTATAATATCATTTTCTTTAAAACGGGCGCGAAACCACAGCGAGTATTCAAAATTTTGTCAATATTTACCATGGTATGATGACGTCATGCCGTCAATAAAGTAGTGTGCTCAGCCATCATGGTCTCAAATGCACTAATTTCGTATCATTTTCCTCTCGTACGGCATTACGTCATTATCTGACTAATCATCATTTGTAAATATTGACGTAAGTATTACCAACAATTGTTGATAAAATCACTTGTGTTTTGTTCGCCTTCAAAAATAGCTAGTTTATTTATTTCAATGTCAATTTGCACATAGGCAAAATATGCGTACATCTTTCAGGGCACGTATAAATGAACAATTTCAACTAATCAGTCTTTAATCTGTTTGTAGAAATATGCAGTTTAGAAACATACGCCTATCATTATACTTTTCAACTATTTAACACTGGAGAAAACACCAGATAGTTGAACTGCTGGAAGATACTAGTAATTCCGAAGCAAAATTGGTGCTGTAATTTATAATATGATAAACTTGTTGACGAGCTTCTATATCTCTCGAAATATCTCATAACAATAACGTTGTGCGATTGGCGCATATTTAGAATCGGTGTTATTTCAATTTCGTCAAGTATGTGTGTTTTATTGAGAAATTTCCACTACAATAAAGGGAAATAGTCAAGTCACTGGAAGACGAGACTTTAACAAACTTTCTTCGGAGAAAGTGGTCGGAATCATAAGTTTAACCTTTTGGTACTTTCTCATGATTGAGTTTGAGAAGTCAATATGGCTGCCATAGGTCCTATTACCAATAATGCTCGCTCAGGTTTTTTGACAAATTTGGGGGTTTTCCCGTGCGTGACATTCATAGTGTAATAATGTTATTCCTGCCTTTAAGAGTAACTCCAATCAATCCAAAGTATTGGATATCTACTACTGTCTAAGGGTGACTTTATCTGAAAACATATGCTGTTATACTTTTCAAGACGGAAAAGTAAAGAAATAAACATGAAATACCATATCGGATAATCCTAATTTGAACGGAAATAAACTTGTTGGCAAACAACGAATCATGACATATCATAGAATTAGAAAATTAAACGAGACTTACCTGAAGTCGAAGTTTGATTGAAATTCTATGAGTTACTGTTAAGGAACTAGGAAGTCATGTGTGAGATAGAGCGCGCGATATCAAGATCAGTTTTTAAAAATTTGCGAACGTCAACATACATATTGGGAGGCAAGTAATATTTAACATCATTTGAAAAGAAGTAAGTTAGTAGTTGGGTGGGTGACTTCCTAGTTCCTGAACAGTAACTCATAGAATTCCAATCAAACTTCGACTTCAGGTAAGTCTCGTTTAATTTTCTAATTCTATTTAGTCACTGTTCTACGTCACTAGGAAGTCATGTGAGATTTTGAAGCAATGTGGGCATGAGCAATAACTAATAAGAAAACAATATAATTGAAATTTCACAATCCATGTCACATAAATGGTAGAAAGTATATCATTGCTAAAGTTCTTCGCTGCAATTGGTTTATTATAAAATGTTTGAAAAGTTTGTTCATTACGCCATGTAGCTGTATTCATAATAGTGTCCATAAAAATATTTAATGCGTTTGCCGCCGAAATTGATGCAGTTCTAGTACTGTGTGCACTGTAAACCTCAATATTTATACCAGCATCCTTTAACACGTATTTTAGCCATCGGGAAATGGTCGCTGAAGTGACCGAATGATAAGGTTTTTGATAGCTCTATAGGAGTTGTCTTGCACTATTTCGTATGGGTGCAGTGGCATTTAGATAATGGGACTAGTCATTGAATACGCATAACTCAGGCTCTGGTGGATAAGCCCGAAATTCTAAAGGAGCAGCATGCTTACAGGTTTAGATGTTTTGAGCAGTTGGTGCACATGAAAAACTATTCGATCTTCTTTCTTGTCCATATGAGAAATATCCAATGCATGAAGTGTTTGGCATCGCTGACCAGATAATAAAGCTAAAAGCATTACTGTTTTTATGTTTAATGATATCAAACTGAGATCTTTCGGAGGGTGGAGATTTCGAAGATGTTCGAATACCACTGAAACAACCCAGATCATGGCATATCTAGGAAGAGCTGATCTTGCAACAATACACCAACAATACACAAGAACAAGAACAAGAACAAGAATAAGAATACGAACAAGAACAAGAACAAGAACAAGAACAAGAATAAGAATACGAACAAGAACAAGAACAAGAACAAGATCAAAAATAAGAATAAGAGTAAGAATAAGAATAGGAATAAGAAAAAGAATAGGAAAAAGAATGAGAATAAGAATAAGAATAAGAATGAGAACAATAATAAAAATGAGAACAAGAATAAGAATGAGAACAAGAATAAGAATGAGATTAAGAATAAGAATGAGAATAGGAAAAAGAATAAGAATAAGTATAAGAATAAGAATAAGAATAAGAGTAAGAGTAAAAATAAGAAAAAGAACAAGAACAAGATCAAAAATAAGAATAAGAATAAAAATAAGAGTAAGATCAAGAATAAGAATAAGAATAAGAATAAGAGTAAAAATAAGAATAAGAATAAGAATGAGAATAAGAATAAGAATGAGAATAAGAATTAGAGTAAGAATAAGAATGAGAATAAGAATGAGAATGTTTATTTTTAAGCTTTAAGTTTAAAAAATTGTTTTGAAAATAATGGAATATTGTTTAAATTGTAAATGATAACTAAGGACTCTAAATAATTTATATAGGAAAGTAAGAAATGCAAATAAAACCTGTTATACAGTGCCATATCGTCACTGGGTGGATTCGAACCACCAACCTTTCGGCTATTAGACGAACGCGCTAACCAATTACGCCACAGAGGCATTTAGCACTGATGACATCATTTAAATATTTGTTTGATTTTATAGTATAAAAATGATTTTGCTTTTAACAAATTTCCAAAAAAGATTTGAATTCCTCACCTGCTTAAATAATATTTAAAAAGGGAAAATTTATGTGATATTTTATCGTGTTTATATGGTCGTAAGATACGCGAGATAGTCTCAAACGTACCTTTGATGTAAGGTATCGTTGCTGTTGTCACTGAGTTGTTCGTTTCGTTGGGTTCGTTGAGGTTGGTAAGTGTTGCGTTTGATAAAGTCAGAGTTATAGTTGTTTTTGTCAAAAACACGTTTGAGATAGTTGTTTTCCTTTTGTAGAGCGTCCGGTGAATCACATATGATTTGTGCACGTCTTGTTAATGTTCTGATTGTGGTGGCTTTTTGTGGTGTAGGGTTGTAAGATGATTGGTCTAGCAGTTCGTCAGTATGTGTTGGCTTGCGATAAACTGTTGTTCCTAGTTTTTGATTGTCATGTTTTACCAAACAGTCGAGAAAAGGAAGAGTTCCGTTTTCTTCGACATCTTTGGTAAATTGTATGTGGCTGTTCTGTTTGTTGATGTGGGTATGAAAGTCATCAATGTCGTCTGCATGTAGTGCTGTTTATTAACTGCTATTTATTAACCTCTAGTCTGCTATTTATTAACTTCTAGTCTGCTATTTATTAACCTGGACGATCATCATTTACAAACATGTAACGATACCCGGGTTCAAACCATTTACTTTATAGTATGTCTTTGCAAAGGAAAATGTGCTACAAGACGATGTTATTGTAGGAATAAGAATCGTCCATGTACGGAAAGTTGTGGTTGCCTAACCATGAAATGCAACAATACATGATGAAATTTTAAATTTAAAAGCCTTCAAATCTCAAATACCTCAAATCCAATTTCAATTTACTTGGCATATTTAAAATGAGTGTAATATAAACAATATTCATTAGCGAAAGTCTCCCTGTTAGGACGTCACATATGAATCTAATTAATTTGGCTGCACATTTCAAGATGACGGAACAGCCCTTGAACTAAGCAAACTTCCATTCTAAACTGCGCTTTATATATATATTTTCAAACCGGAAAAATAATGTTTTACGGAATACTAAACTGCAATGAATGATATCGCGACATAAAAAAATATATGTCCCATGTCCTTTAAAGACAACATATTGCTTTGCATAGTGATATTGTTATTGCACAATGAAGTTTTTATAAACTTCAACGTAGATG